GAAGCAGGGAGAGCAACTGTGGGTACCAGAGACAGTGGGAGGGAGGGAACCAAGAGAGAAAAGAAGCTAAACATTTAACAGACACAAAAATTGGAAAGTTATCTGCTGATGATACTGGGTATGGTAATGTCTTCGACGGCACTGATATACAGTGAATTCATGCTGTGAAGATTACTTTTGTCTGCTGTGGAGAGTGCTTAAATGGGAAAAAATAGAAAATTTTAAAAATACAAATCATCTATCAGTTTTGAAAAATTACGTTCAGGCACTCTGAGATGCTAACTTTTCAGCAGTTTATGTTGCATTAGAAAGTAAGCATACCACACTAGGTGGACATTTTGTTACATATATTACCTGAACTCCAACCTCACACCGCAAATGGGAGCCCTCTCATGGCCAGCGCTTTCATCAGGGAGCTCTCAGAAATCACCGGCAGGCCGCTGTGACTTTGCTCCGGGCTGCCTCTCCTGGTTGGGGCCTAGAATTACCTGAGCATGCCCACCCTGGGCCACCCTCTCAGTGCCTCCACAGACCCTTCCTTCTACATATTACAAATGTTCTTCTAAGATGTATTTTACCACTTCTCAGAAATCAGTAGGGAACAGCATAAATACAGTAGTCCCTCGTCCAGCTTCCCTGTCTGCGCTTTCCCTCATCAACTGCAGTCAAAAATAGATGAGTCCAGAGTGGCGAGATATTCTGAGGGAGAGAAAGAGGTGGAAAGAGGGAACGCAGGCACCTGTCGGTTCGACACAGCGTTACCACAGTTCTATTTGATTGCCACTGTCCAGCTCTCGCTGTGCCTAATGCATAAATTAAACCTGCCTTCCGGTACGTATGTGTGGGGAAAACAGTCTACAGAGGGGTCAGTCCCACCCACAGTTTGAGGCCTCCACTGGGGGTCATGGATCCTATCCCAGGTGCACAGGTGGGGACTACTGTACATAACTTAGTAAAATGGAGAAGCAGGACCAGCAGGTGGCATGGAGGGTGTGGGGCTGGATCCCACCGAGCAGTTCAAGCTCCTGACCAGAGAGCTTGAAAACCATGCATGGTACATATGCATATGTGCCCAAAACCCTGAGAGGAGAATAGAAGAAAAGGGACTGTGGTACAGCCATCCCCCCGAGGGGTGATTTCCCACTTACTTTCCTTCTCTCGTGCGTGCTCTTGCTCGCTCTCTCTCTCCCTCCCTCTCTCTCTCTCTCCCTCTCTCTCCCCTTCTCTCCCTCTCCCTCTCTCTCACTCTCTCTCTCTCTCTCTCTCTCTAGCTCATGTGGACCTTATAGAGGAAGAAAATAAAGGCAGAGCAAAAATATAAAATATGTACACAAAATAGAAAACAAACATGAAATGAATCCTAATTGATCGAAATTTTCTGTGTATTGAATTAGTAAGTATTGAAAACCATAAAATATCTAAATTTTTAAATATTTTGGCATTGAGGGAGTTACAAAATGGTTAAATTCACATAAAAATGTGAATTATTATTACTTACAGACTACTCTCTTACCAGTTTTCTGTATGACAGTCTTCCGTATGATACAGAATGACCAGCTACTGTAAATAAAATTACTAGCAAAGGCTGTGGTATTTGAGCCAACTAAATCTATATAAACATCTGGAAGCTTCAAATGACTTATGGGTGCATAAAAACCACCATAGCACCGATGAAATTTTAACCACATATCACGTATTCTCACTTGATTCTCATCTCTAGATCATGCATGAAATTTTCAAACATGCTTAAACTACTGTATAAGAAAAATCACTGTCAGGACCAGCTGTGGTGGTTGAGGTGCTGGTGCCACATGGCCAACCACGGTGCAAGTCCCAGGCCTGGTGGCTTGATTGCTCACTTTCCCTCTCTTACTCTCTCTGTCTCGCTCTGGTGAGCACACATACCCTACAGCAAATTAAAATAATAATAAAAATAAATTAAAATTTTTTTCAATCGCCACGATTTATAATATCTCCATCTTCCGCCATAATACTCTGCACTGAGGTGAATTCATATGTTCACCTTTGCTCACAAAGTCAAAGGAAATGCCGAGAACGAGTCTAGACTGCTGGCTCTTAACAGAAAATACACACAGATCATCCTTCAAAAAACACTGATAAACTGTGCTGTCTGAATCATGTTAGCGAAGGGTGTGAAATCTGGGGTAACATCCAGGATCTGAGTGAAGTGCCCATTCACGCCATTGGAGCAGCGGCAGCCATGAATGCAGACCTCACCAGCTGACAGCCATGCTCTCACCAAATTAATCTGCATTTGAAAAGGCAGAGAAAGCAGTCCAACTATGGAAGATAACTGCACTGCCCCTACAACGACGCGTGCCATCTTCTGGGCTACTAGTTTTCCATGAAAAACCATGGAAATGAGATGCTCTGACACTACAAGAGGTTTCCTCTTACTTGCCAACAGTGATGGCAACTAAAGATGTACCATGTTTAGTCCGTTCAAAGAGGCCCCAGGGGGCCAGCAGGTGGTATAGGGGTTAGGGTGCTGGGCTCCCAAAAGGCTGTCTGTGGTTTGAGTCCCGGACCTGGCTTCTTGTGTGAGCGCACACGCACACACACACACATGCCCCTGGGGCCTCTTTTTTAAAGAGAGAGATTTTTGCTATAGAGTGTGTGTACTTACTGGAGAGAGAGAAAGAGACAGAAAGCAAGAAATCACCTCCAAGAGGGGATGGCCACACTGCAATCTTTTCTCCATTCTCCTCTGGACATTTTGGGCACGCAGGACATGTGCCTAGTGTGAGTTTCGAGAAGCCGGGTCCGAGACTCAAACCACAGACAGCCTTTTGGGAGCCCAGCACCCTAACTACTATACCACCTGCTGGCCCCCTGGGACCTCTTTAAACGGACTAAACATGGTACATCTTTAGCTGGTATCACTGTTGGCAACCACTGAAGACTTCAGATGTTAAACTGACTGTAGAGTAACCACCAGACCAAAAGTGGTTAATTTAATAATGTAATTATTAGTTGAAATCTGGTTTCAATGCCAGTGTTGTGTACCAGAATTGAGGTGAATAATGTTTTTATTTTTCCTTTTTTTTTTTTTTTTTTTTTGGAGAGGTTTTTGCTATAGGGCACATGTGCTCACCAGACAGAGAGATAGAAAGCAAGAAATCACCTCCCAGCGGGGATGGCCCCGCCGCAATGCCTTCTTCTCCATTCTCCTCTCAGGATCTTGGGCACGCACGCACACGCACCTGGCGCGAGTTTTAAGCCACTGGGTCCAGGACTCAAACCGCGGTCAACTACGTGGGAGTCCAGCGACATAGCCATTACGCTAAGTGCTGGTCCCGAGGAGAATAATGTTTAAGCATATCTCCCAGGCCATGGTCAAAGACCCGTGGGCATGTCTCCCACCCTGACTCACTGAAATTTTTTGGATTTTTTAGATGTTTTGTCTTAGGGTGTGTGTGCTTGCCCAGAGAGAGAGAGAGACAGAGACTGTGAGAAGGAAAGTGAGAAATCACCACCTCCACTCTCTTCCCAGGATTTTAGGCACGAACACACATGCACCAAATAGGACTCGAACCGTGCTCAGCCATGTGGGAGTCCAGCAACGTAACTGCTACCTACGCCACCTGCTGGCCCCTCACTGAAGTTCTTATTTGTGAATTCTGACTCTCTCCAACCAGCCTATTTGCTAAGTATCTGAAATTTGATTTTTAGGAACACACCAAAATTCAAGCTATACTTTCACTCTGATTTTTGATATTACATAAAAGGAGAAAAATATTCAATTCCATAGTTATTGTATTTTTGGTTTTTATGACAATGCATTTCATGGACCCCAGTTAATTTTAAATTTACTTCCTAAGCTAATCTTTCACATACAATTTAATCTACCCCCTTAAATGGCAGAACACTTCATTCTTCAGTTTACTAACTGATTTGAGCTACTGAAGTAGTATTTGTGCAACAGAAAAAGTGATTGAATGACCTCTCTGAGCCTCCACATCCTGTCCCACAGGGAGGAGCCCTCATTTTGCACAGCAGCCTTCTCTGGTCTGCTCCTAGCCCTTCTGGGTGGTCATCATTCCCATCTGCCCCTGGCCCCCCGTTCTGGGTGGTCATCATTCCCTATCTGCCCCTGGCCCCGTTCTGGGTGGTCATCATTCCCCATCTACCCCTGGCCCTGTCCTGGGTGGTCATCATTCCCCATCTGCTCCTGGCCCTGTTCTGGGTGGTCATCATTCCCCATCTGCCCCTGGCCCCGTTCTGGGTGGTCACCATTCCCCTTCTGCTCCTGGCCCTTCTGGGTGGTCATCATTTCCCATCTGCTCCTGGCCCTTCTGGGTGGTCATCATTTCCCATCAGCCACAGCATCTTCATACCACATACATTCTGTTGGTGGCTTCTTTGGGACCCCCAGTCACTGTGACACAGCTCATTTATTGCTTATTTTAATTATTATTATGATCAGCTCACTTGATAGGCCCCCTTCCATGCCCTGTTGTAAAACTGAAAAGGGGGACATGGAAAAAGTAAGGTACTGGATTCCCACATGGCCAGCTGGACCTAACAACTTGAAAATCACACTGGGCATGTGTGCATGTGTGCCCAGGGTCCTGAACGGAGAAAGGATTGCAGTGTGGCCATCTCTTGGGGGGTGATTTCTCACTTTCTCTGTCTCTCTTTCTGTCTATCTGTCTACCACATGCACCCTACAGCAAAAACAAACAAACTAAAAACAGGTGATATATGTGGAAATAATTTATAGCCTCCAATAATTCCCTTCCGATTTGCATCTCCTTTATGAGTAATTACTGAGGATTAAGAAGGAAAGATAGCCAAACAAAATAAAGCCAAGTAATGTATAATAGACAAAACAAATAATAATATGAAACCACTTTCTTCAATTGCATTAAGATGCAATATGATTTTTGATCTACAGTATGAAAGTTAACTGAGAGTGAAAACAACTGTCTCTAAAGGAGAATTGTGATGGATGAATAGGAAGACCATGGCATACTCACCATCTCTCCGATTAAGACTTGCAAAGCCAGCGCTGTGGCTGCTCGACAGTTCTGAGGAGCTGCTGAAGGACGACCGAGGCAAGGCAGACGCCAGTGGAGCATCACAGTTATCTGCGGAGCAAAACACCACGTCAGGTTAGCACGCTGACAAAAGCACGCCTTTCTTCTCCCATTTGTTTTCTCCTTTCTTTTCAGTTGCCAAGGCTAAGAAAACACCAGGACATCAGTTCTGTTAGAGGTGTGCCAGTAAGTGATGAACAACAAGCTGTTAAGGAAGATAAAAGCCCTGACTGTAGCAGCTGCCATTTTCCATGGTGTAAATACTGCATTCCCAGTTATGGGCAACTCAAAGTTATCAACCTAATGTCACTAAACGCTGAGCTGGGAGGAGATACACAGCATTGTATCACATCTGTGTATACACATCGCTTCCACCATGCAGATGCAAGACACATACGTAACCAAAAGAGCACAGAGAATCACAAAATGCCATAAAATAGTAGCAACTGGTGAGTTCTGAGAATGTATCACCTTTGTTTTTAATATAATTTACTTAAGTTTACATCATTTGATTTTAATAACTGCTGCTTTAACTGGCTTGTAAAATTCAAGAAAAGTTAATGAAAAGTTAATGATGGCTCTTGCTAGCTGCTAATAATTGGTTCCAGCACCTCTCTACTCTCTGGGAAAATAAAGTATTTCCTTTAGGGCAAGCAGGTGGCACCGAGGTTAAGGCAGCTGGATCTCACATGGCTGATAGTGCAAGTTCTAGTCCCAGACCCAGCAACAAGAAACATGCTAGGCATGTGTGCACGCATGCCAAAAATCCCGAGAGGAGAATGGATTACAACATGGCCATCCTCAGTGAGAGGTAATTTCTCTCTCTCGTTCTCTCTATCTCTCTCTCTTTCTCCCCCTGAGCACACATACCCTACAGCAAAACAAACAAAAAAATAATAATAAATTTCCTTTAAAGTCAGAAGACTTTTTGAGGTATCAGTACTTCTGCTGAGCATTAGATTGAAGTCCTATCAATATATAGAAAAAATTAAAACGTTAAAAAGTATAAGAATAGGAAAAAAGTGACTATCATTCCCATATATGATTTTGTAAATAGAAAACCCAAAAGCAATTGGCTAGCCTAATGACTCGATATTCAAATTTCTAAAGTATTTCTAAATTTTATCCATAGTTAGAAAATAAGTAAAATGCCAATGGTAATAAATCATATAAAGTGTCTAAGAATGAATCTTACAAAATGCACAAGATGTTAGTAAAACTTATTATTATTTTTGTTTTATATTTGTGTCATAGGTGTGCAGGGTACACCAGTTGGGGAAAAGCAGAGAGAGGGAAAGTGAGAAATCACTCCCCGGGGATGGCCACACCATAATCCCTTCTCCTCCGTCCTCCTCTCAGGTGTTTGGGCACGCACTCATGTGCACCCAGTGTAATTCTCAAGCTGCTCTAATCACGGTTGGTCATGTGGGAGGCCAGCACCTCAATCGCCATGCCACCTGTTAGCCTCTAGCGACAATTATCTTAAAAACCGTGTAAAAGGATAGCAGTAATGCAGTACCCTGAAAGGCTGGAGGCCACATCACCACAGGCTGGGCACACCCCTGGGTGCCCAGGGTCCTGAGTGGGTGGGGACTGGGTAGAGGGGATTTCAGCCTGATAAGACCCTGATGATGGCTCGACATGTGCATGCTCTCTCTCTGTCCCCTCACTCTCTTGTTCATGCACACACAATCATTAAAACGAAAAGACAGCAGATGGCATAAAGGTTATTTGCTGGACTCCACACAGTCAACTGCAGTTTGAGTCCTGGATCCAGTGGTTTAAAACTCATGCCAGGCGGGAGACCAAGATCCCAAAAGGAGAATGGAGGAAAAGGGATTGTTGGGTAGCCATTTCCCCTGGAGGGTAATTTCTCTCTTTCTGTCTCTTAGTCTCTCTTGCCTCTTCAGCAAGTGCATGTGCCCTGTAGCAAAAACAAAACCCTAAAAAAAAAGAAAAGGTAAAAAAAGACATCAAAGAAAACTACTGCAAGACCACACAAACCACTAATAGGAATAAAAATTTTTTGAGAGAGATTTTTGCTATAGGGTGCATGCACTTGCCAAAAAGACAGAGAGGGAGACAGAGACAGAAAGTGAGAGATCATTCCCCAGGTGAGACGGCCATGCTACAATCCCTTCTCCTCCATTCTCCTCTCAGAATTTTGGGCACACGTACACACACACACACACACACACACACCCAACGTGAGTTTCACTCCCCGGGGATGGCCACACCATAATCCCTTCTCCTCCGTCCTCCTCTCAGGTGTTTGGGCACGCACTCATGTGCACCCAGTGTAATTCTCAAGCTGCTCTAATCACGGTTGGTCATGTGGGAGGCCAGCACCTCAATCGCCATGCCACCTGTTAGCCTCTAGCGACAATTATCTTAAAAACCGTGTAAAAGGATAGCAGTAATGCAGTACCCTGAAAGGCTGGAGGCCACATCACCACAGGCTGGGCACACCCCTGGGTGCCCAGGGTCCTGAGTGGGTGGGGACTGGGTAGAGGGGATTTCAGCCTGATAAGACCCTGATGATGGCTCGACATGTGCATGCTCTCTCTCTGTCCCCTCACTCTCTTGTTCATACACACACAATCATTAAAACGAAAAGACAGCAGATGGCATAAAGGTTATTTGCTGGACTCCACACAGTCAACTGCAGTTTGAGTCCTGGATCCAGTGGTTTAAAACTCATGCCAGGCGGGAGACCAAGATCCCAAAAGGAGAATGGAGGAAAAGGGATTGTTGGGTAGCCATTTCCCCTGGAGGGTAATTTCTCTCTTTCTGTCTCTTAGTCTCTCTTGCCTCTTCAGCAAGTGCATGTGCCCTGTAGCAAAAACAAAACCCTAAAAAAAAAGAAAAGGTAAAAAAAGACATCAAAGAAAACTACTGCAAGACCACACAAACCACTAATAGGAATAAAAATTTTTTGAGAGAGATTTTTGCTATAGGGTGCATGCACTTGCCAAAAAGACAGAGAGGGAGACAGAGACAGAAAGTGAGAGATCATTCCCCAGGTGAGACGGCCATGCTACAATCCCTTCTCCTCCATTCTCCTCTCAGAATTTTGGGCACACGTACACACACACACACACACACACACACCCAACGTGAGTTTCAAGTCACCAGGTCTGGGACCTGAACTGCAGTTGACTATGTTGGAGTCCAGCAACATAACCATTACGCCATCTGGTGGGCCCAGGAATCTAATATTTTTAAGAGATCCGTTTTTCCTAGTTTAATTTGAAGATTTTATTAAAAGCCCAAAAGAGAAGCTCAAGACAGTTTTCCCTAGAACTTGAGAAAGTGCCCACATAATTCAGAGGTGCTGAACATGTGGTACAGATGTCATCTAGGGGGCTTATAAACAGAAATGGTAAAAAATTACGTCTTTATTTTTACTAACTTCTACCTAAAATGCAGCATTTTGTCTAATTACGAATAGAGACAAAGCACAGTGTCACAATGTGTGTGCATTTGTAAGCAGCAGCAACTGCAGGTGTGTCTCGGCCATCGCTGTGCGGCTGACACCTGGAAAGATGTTTAGTGCCTCGTCACTTCAAAGGAACAGCAGGAACTGAACTGAGGACTAGCTCCCGTTCAGTGACACCTAGTATAACTTCTAGTATATCGGTGACCGCATTTCTACACTATGCATACGTCATATTCACAAGCATGATTCTGGAAAGACGCTCAAGGCTCCCGCCAACTATGAAAGGAGTCCATGACACAGAAGGGTTCAGACCCCCACGGCGGCCATGTGCACAGGAGGGGCAACACTGTGGAGTCATTACTGGGGTACTGTGAGCATGTCAGAAAATGCCAGACGTGCAGGGTTATCTGCAGCCATGTCAGCTGTGTCAGCTGGAGTGTCAGCACAGCAATTCCTCACGTGCAATGTGCGCGAGCCAGCCTGGGTCATTCCAGCTGGATGCACAGGGTCCCTGGAGTTGAACCAGCGTCCTGGGAGGCACACAGCTCGCTGAGGGCAGGTAAGATGATCTCCACTGACTGCATAACACAGGAAGCCTCCAGTCCCTCTGCTCGCCACACCCCTTGGTGCCCCTTAGGTCAGAGGACGGAGCATGGGCTCGGTGGGGGTGGGAGGTCTGCCAGGTGTCTGGCCCCGCAGCGTCTCTCACTCCCTGAGCCTCCGTTTCCTCATCTGTACCAGACACCACACACGCAATCGGTGCTATGAGGACTGTCTGCCTCTATTCTTCTGTTATAGTAAAACAAGCCAGCACACAGAAGTCCCTGTGGGTTATTCTATGAAGACATTCCCCCACACAGAGAGAAGGCAGTTCTCAGTCCCCAGCCACGCATCATTCTAAAGAAGATGAAAATGTTTTCATAATGTAAATTTCCTCTGGAGGACCGATTTAGTATGTTTTTTTTTAAATGAGAATGGGGACCAGCAGATGGCACAACGGTTACAGCACTGGACTCCTATGTGGTCCACTGTGGTTTGAGTACCTGACCCAGCAGCTTCAAACTCATACCAGGTGCATGTGCGTGTGTGCCCAAGATCCTGAGAGGAGAATGGAGGAGAAGGGATTGCAGCATGGCCAGCCCCACCTAGGGGGTGATTTCTCACTTTCTGTGTCTCTGTCTCTTCAGTGAAGCAAAAGTCTCTCTCAAAAAAAAATAAATAAATAAAAAAGAATGGTCTTTATAACCCTAACCTAGAGGCTCCAGACTCAGCTATTCCGATTTACTCCATAGTCATTTGAGACTGCACGTGGTCAAATACGAGTGGCTGCTCCAAGTGCCTCCCGTCCTTGGCCAGGAGTTGTCCGTGCATTTGAGCAGTCTCTAGCTACATAAACCCACACCACGTGACGGCCCCGGTGCCCCCCCAACATCGCCATTAACTGCTGCTTCAAACCGAAAGGGCCATACTCAGATTCCTGGAGCAAAATTTGGTAAGACCCAATCAATTTTACTTTTCTCACATGATTTCCAAATATTTCTATTTCACTAACTAAATACAGTCCTTATCAATCATCTGACAAATAACATTTCAGTCCAAAACAC